TAGAAATACAAATAGCTTAGTCTCGTAAAAATTGACTACTTCTCCTATAGGTTAATATTTTTTAATATTATAATTTTCTATTTGTTTTACAGAGTTTATATATTTTTTGGCAGTGTAGAAGCTCTAGGGGGATGCTAGGCAGTGTTGACCGGCATGTTGGATCGAACTCTGGCCACAAGGTGTCTACATAACAATTTATAATGGTCGACTGGCAGTCCACGACCACAGCCAACAAACAAACACCCGAACTCCGGGTTAAAACTAAGTGAGAGTGGCGGGAAAAAATACGGATAATAGCGCCAGACGGCTGCAGTGCCATTTCTCAAGCTCAAGCACCGAACCGAACGACCGTCACATCGAGGACTCGAGGACTTCGGGACACTTTGGCACTTGGCCACCAGCCAGGCCACTGAGTCAGGCAGGAGAGGGTGTGGGCAAAAAAAAATGGGACACCCTCCATCCGACCATCCGGTGGCCCAGGTGAGTGACCAGTTGTTGTTGTTTACATGCTGGCGCCCCAGCTCTGTCCGGCTTTATTGATGGTCAAAAGTTTACCTGTGTTCACCTGTATCACTTCCAAATGCTGGGCCTCGAAATCGATATGCCAGCATTCTTGAAAATTTAATTTACATTTAATTTAAAGTGTCAGGTCATCTACGTTTGAATAAAAGCTAGAACTGGAATATGAAATCGATACAATTGCAGTCCTTAGTTTTTAGAATGGGTCATCTAGATATGAAACTATTGAATTTATTTCAAAAAAACTAACTAGATACTCGTATATGCAATAAGCATAAGGCAACATTTTATTACAAAACTAAATTGGCAATCGAAACTCAGTCGAGGAGAAATGCTTTCGCTTCTGTTCCGTTTTATAGACATTGTGCCGGTGGGCCATCAATAATCCAACCAAAACTTGACCTTGAACGGGGTCAGAGGATAAAGAACGTGGCTGAAATTTATTATCCGATGCTATTGATATTTTAAATAAATGTTCCGTGACTCAGATAAAAAATATTTCAATAGATGGGAGTGCATTGATGGCCGCATGTTGCTGCCATAGAGGATGTGTGTTTGTTTTTGCGTTTGGGAATTGAACTACTCGTATTTTTCCTGACATCGTTATTGTCGCTGTGCACCTGCCAACTGACCTTGTTTTCAGCTTTTTTTTTTCCTCTTCTCTGGTTTCAAAAGAGGTCTGCACTAGGAAAATAACAAAATCGAATTCATTTTTCATGAAGACAAAATGTTTTTCTATTCGCAGCTGGTTGCCTTTAAATACCTTTACGTTTGATTGCTTTTGGATTGCATTGTTTTCGAATAATTGCATTATCCTTGCTGGAAGAAGGTGCTCAAAGAAAGAGATATAGACAAGCCAATATAATTAGAACTTTAAGGACCTGCAGCTTTTTCAAATCTTTCTTTTAGGCTGTCAGTCAGGGGACCCTATTCCGGCTTTAATCTCAGACCGACTCAAAAAGTCCATCAAGTGCTGTACTTAAGTGTGGAAAATCCTCTTTAAGAATCCTCCTCCGGCAAAGGGACGCGAACACTTTGTGGGGCAGCCGGTTAAGGTGTCCTGTGTGGCAAAGATGGAAAAAGGCTCGGAACACCGGTGCTTGCTGGTAGTGCTCCCAGCTTGGGGCTCATTATTTCCCCGAGTAATATGCTAAAATGACGCAAAACACACACAGCCGGCAGACGACGTCTGGCTGTCGCTAAAATGCTGGGCTGGGAAATGTTTTTAATTGAAAAGAACTTGCGAGTCGAGGCGAGGCGTGCCTGCACATGGGAAAGTGCCGCCATGGCTGCGGGAAAATGGAAAATGGTTGGGTAACTGGTGGCTGGAGGAAGGTGTTTTGAGGAAAAACTTGGCTAGGGTTAATACTGTGTCGACACTTGCCCGGGCGGTGCGCCAGGTGGATGTCCTCGACGTACCTGTCACTGCTGAAATGGTTTTTAAAGCCCCCTCCGTTTCCATGGGCTAATATTTTTATTTCAATAAATTAATCTGCTCAACAATGAATTTTTATTCGTTATCAAACAGTGCATTAATCGCTCAGAAAAGCACCAAAGCGCAGTGTTAAATGCCAACGCCATATTCTTGAAAATTTATAGCTGCCATGGCATTTTTTCCTTGTCACATTCTCGGTGACACATCAATCAGGAAAAGCTGGAAGCTGGAACTCCGGCTTCGTGGCAGTGGCTTCATGGCGGATAATACAAGTCCGGAATTTATCACGTAAAACATTGCACTTTGTTGGACAGCTTTATGAAGAATTTTCGCCACCTAGTGTCTGAGAATATTAAGTTTACTAGAAAGAAAAGATGCGGGTGTACAAGTGATATACATTTTAATTTTAATTTTAAACACCCTTTCTGAAAAAACCCCATTCAAAATTATTTCATTTGGCATTGCAAATGTGCGAATTCGTGAAATGAGACCGCAGACTCGCAGGATTTCAATGGTGGTTTTGTAGTTCCAGAGTGTGCTCGTAAATTGCGTATTTTTATGACTACCATTATGTTGTTCAAATATAACTAACGCAGTCGCAGTAGCAGTAGCAGTAGCCGTAGCAGTGGCAGACGTAGCCTGACTAACTGCCAGCCATAACACTTCTATCGCAGGATTACGACATTTATCATAATGCCCTCCGTGAACAGAGCGGAATAAGTGGGCGGATAGAGGTTGAATGTTGTGTGGATATGGGGCGTGGCATGCAAATAATCCACTTGGCTGCTGCATGCATCGCCTGCCTCAAGGGTTCTCACCAGCTTGGGGGATTCGGGGAGAGCCCAAGGATAATCATGAGCAAAACGAGTTTATTAATTCGTTGGAGGAGGAACTCTAAAGCTGCGGGTTTATTAGTCAAAACGACCTTGGCCATTTGGCCATACAGGGAATTTGAGGGAACTAGCTGAGAACAAGTTGCATAAGCAAGTCATGTCCTTTTAATTAAATTTCAGTTGAGATTTTAAAGCTAGTCAGTCGCTCGATATTGGCTTACCAACCAGCTTCATTATGCGAATCCTATACAAAAAAGAGTCGGCCAATTAGTAATGGCTCTTTGAATGGCATTACTGTCCCTGGATGATGGCCCTTCATTTATCAAGTTGCATCCTTGGCTCCGTGCCCTTCTGCTTCGATGTTCCTGCCACTTGGCCACTGGGCTGCAGCTGCCGCAAAACTTTTTAATGGTTAAATAAGCGATGTTGTCCACTGCAGTTTGCTTAATGCCACACAAAAGTTGCACTGATTTTTTGTTTGCAACTTGCAACCTATTCGGACAATTTCGGATAGTAATTGGTTTTAAATGGCAATTTCTCGGGAATAAACATCGGATCAGGGGGTACTTACCACACATAGAGTCAAGAATCAAACCAGAAGAAAACATTTAGGGTTTATGTTTACTTTACAAATACTTTTGATATTTATTGTTCAAGCGTGTAAATAAAGCTTTTTTGCACTTTACTCTTTAATGTTTTTTAATGTATTTCTTTTTGTAAATAAATTGCAATTTGATATAGTTGCAACAACATTTAAGTTCAACTTCTAAGTACCACGTATTCTGTATTTGTGTATGCATATATTCTCCAGACTAGTCCGAAAAGAGTTTATTTATTTTTGTTTCAAAGGTTATGTTTATAATCCCAACTAATCACGAGTCTAAAATACGATCTCAGCTCTATGCAGCCCTAGATATTGGTAATTGGTATTCGTACATTAAAATACAATTAACACTTTGTATTGCGGTTGTTGTGTGTATATTGTAACAATTTTGTAGCTCACTTTTGTGCAACACATGCCTCTCATAGTGTTCGATATTTTACAATATAAATATAAACTATATTAAGTATATTTATATTATATTCTTTGTATTCAATATTCTCTCTATAGGTAATTTAGAACTTATGCCACGCTTTCCCATGATAATATGTACAAATTGTTTAGCAATGTCATGCCAAAGAACTAAATACTTTTCGAAGGAAGAACAATATTTAAGCCTTACCTAGCTATCCTATCCGATAATGTAGACGATCTAACTGGCTAGAGAAACTATTTAAGACTCTAATCAACAAGGACTAATTAATGTTGAGAGCTTTTTGGGTTAAACTGCCGACTTCCGTGAATAAAATGTGTATCACCCGTATGACAATAAGGATAATAATGATAGAAATTTAATCCTAACCATAATCTTATGTCTTGGAAGAATAATACGGCATACTTTAAAAGTTTATTTATTAAGTTATGATAATTTCCTAAACAAATGTTGACCGAAAATCGGTTAATACTCTATTTTGGTATACAAACTGGTACGTAACATTTACTTATAACTTTTTTTGGTACAAACTTAAAAGACCCCTTGGGAAATAATTAAATAAAATTTGTTAAAGGTGTTTTAGAAGTACTTAACATGCAACGATTAAGATATATACTGGATATATTGTGTGTGTCTGTTTATTTATTTATTTTGAACATAACATTGGATTGACCTACTTATGAAAAGTAACAACTTACATGAATAGTATGGAAACACTTTTATAAAGCTTGTGATCTCGATTTAAGTATAGGTTTCTGTTTATATGGCATTTGGACTATGCTTTACTTATGGTTTTATGGTAAAAAGTATTACTAACTTCCATTTGGTTACACATGTACTTTATTTGTCTTCATATCGCTATGGGAAGAATAAAAGTGGCGAATGTGCGGAGCTTTAGTTTCTGAAATTGTAGTTTCGCCATGGGTTTTGGGAAATGGGGGGGTTTTGTGTTAGATATGGAATGTATATTAGTACAATATCAGCTTTGGACCCAAAAGTGCGGTTTTCACATTACAAGCTCACAATGTCTTACACTCGCATGACAAAATATTTTAGAAAATTATCTTTAAAAATGGGAAAGAGTCCTTGATGTAGGAATTTGATCCTTTTTTTAAACTTTTTAAAGAAGCTATTTTTAAAAGATGTATTATTAAAAACTCTAATTTTTAAAGGCAATTTTCTAAAAACATTTTATCTTCGAGTGCCTTGATATAGTGCTCATTGACCAGCAACTTGCTTTTCGTAGTTTGTGACAGATCTATGTGTAAGTACATAGTGCGGCTTTATCCTGGGAACTCCTCGTCCTCGACCCCATCAGACGTCCGTTTCGGTGCTCGACTGGTTCGGATTGTGGTTGTGGTTGGAGGTGGGCAGCGGCGCCTGGTGGGAGAGCTGTTTGTGCAGGGGCGGCGGCAGCGGATGGCCGGCTCCCGGTCCCCCCTCGCTGGGCACCATCAGCGGGAGTGATTTCTGCAGGCAGACAGCGCCCGGGGCCGGGTGCTGCGATCGGGGGCTGGGCGGCGTCGGTGTGGGCGTGGCTGGGATCTGGTGCCAGTTAATACTGTTCTGGGAGGTGACGTTGCGGGTCTTGCGTAGAGGCGGATTCTTCGTCGAGGTGGAGAAGGCCATGCCACGGCGCAGCGGGACTCTGGGGTAGCCACATGAGCGGGAACGACAGGACGAAGGACACGCATTAGCAACGGCGGGTTAGGCGATGGCGATGCGGCAAGGGCGTCGTTAGCGATGAGGCGGAGGCGCAGGATGAGGGTTATGAGAGTTCAGATTCGAGTTCAAGACGATGCACATGTGGTAAGGCGACAGGTAGCAGATTGGAGTTTGTATTTTTTTTTGGGAGAGTAGATGACAGAGACACAGGATACACAAGGGTTACAAACGGCGCAAAAACAGACGGCACTGGAAGGGGTTCTAATCTGTAAGGACACTCACCTCGTGGGGCTCGGCGGCGGGTAGGAAATGCCACGGTGGCTGGGCGACAACAACATGTTGCCCGAGTGGCTCGTTGTGGTGCCGGGCACGAGCAGGGTATTGTTACTACAAGTAGGACAAAGGTTACTGTAAAGAGTACGCTGGCGGTTCGGATACCGATTCGGTCTCATATTCGGATATTTTGGGGGGGAGTGGTGGAAGCAGAAACGGAAACGGAAACGAAAAGGCAAGCAGTGGGCAGGGATAATAATAGTGTAAGTCCTAGTTTGGCGGCAAAAAGGACAACATAAAAGGGGATAACTTCGGTAACCGAAGAACAAAATATCCTGGCTAGGATAGTTTCAACAGAAGTTATATCCTTTAAAGCAGACAATTAAATAAAAAAAAAACAACGGAAACCTTTTCCAGGATATTTTTCAAGTCTTTAAAACATAAACAATTAGCACAAATGAGATTCGGTGTTGCAGATGATTATTAATGGATGATAGAGATCCAAGTCGTACATTTGACAATAAAAATATTTATTTTAAGTTTTTTTCCTTTTATAAAATATAATACGTACTATCTAATAACAGTGTATAAATAAGATGACTAAATGTAAAATTATGGTACAACATAAACAATGTGAGTCCGATCCCATGGAACGATCACACACATGACTGGGCGGGGGGATCTGAGCTGGTGATCTTAGTGACCGGATGATCGGAAGATGAGTGTGGTTTTTGGTGGCGATTTATTTTGTGTGCTTGCTTGCTTGGTTTAGTAAGAAGCTGGTCAATGGTGAGTGGTGCAGTCGGTGGTGCACCCATCTACGCAACTTACGTGTTACTGTGATGCATATTGAGGTTGGGCAGGCTCTGGCCGAGGTGATTCAACGGCTGCACGGATAGCGTATTGGCCGACTTGGAGCACAGTGGACCCATCATGCCCATTTTGGCCTTGTGCAGGCCGCTAATAAATTGCTGGTTGCCCTTTAAGGACACTCCATGGTTGCCTGTTTTTAAGGAAATATTTTCAAGATTTAAACATCAGATTATAACATTAGAATCCTTAAGATTAAAGGCAAGAGATGGTTTACTTACCCGTCATTATGCTGGAGCCCTCGTCACTGGACACCGAGTTTGTCTTTTCAATGTCCACGGATATGTTGCGGGAATCGTTCCACTCCACACTGCCGCTATGGCTGTTGTTTGCACTCGAGACATGGCTGCAGATGGAGGAGTTCAGCGGCGACTTGCGGACACCGAGGGAGTCGGCAGTGCCGCCGCTGATGCCGCTGCCACCGAACCGGAAGCCATCCCCGCCCACCGTACCACTGCCACCGGTGCCACTGCCTCCGCCGCCGGCTCCGCGCTTCAGTCTTTGGTAGATCGTCTTGGCCCGCCACAGGGCGTCGCACCAGTTCTTGGCCTCAGTGCACTGGAGGGTGAACGCCGTGGTGGCCACCTGGAACTCGTTGAGGTACACACAGTTCAGTGTGTTGTTCGGCGCCAGCTGGACGACCAGCTGGTCGGTCAGATACGGTTGCCGGATGACCTTCAGGGCGCCCAGTCCCCGCTTGGCTATGGTCTTGCACACCAGGAGCATGTCGGTCAGGAGAAAGCAGTGCACATCGGATTTGCCGAGGTTGTCCTTGAACTTGTGGTCGCCCTCCATGAAGAGGTGACGCACCTGGTAGGCGGGAACTCCCCGCATGGGAGCACACAGGTCGAACATTTGACTGTGTTGCTTAATAAGCTTGTCCAGCATCTCGTTGTTGGTGTCCTAAATGGTTCACATAGACTACATATTGATTTGGAATAAAATCTTTATACTAACCACCACATCATAGGACTCTATCCGCACCATCACTCCCTTGAGCCGCTCGTTCTCCTGGCGCATCGTCAAGTGGTTGTTGACACTGAACACAAAGTTCTCCACACTATGGATCATCCCGTCAATGGCCTCGATCTCGTCCACGTCGCTCATGTGCTTCTTGATGGCCGCCAGGAGGAGGCTGTACTTGGTCAGGCGTTGCATGGGTCGCACCACAATGTCCGCGAGCCGCAGGCGGTTGCACATCTTCTGCGACTCGCACCACGCCAAATAGGAGGTGAACAGGGCATTGTTCTGGTTCAGTTCCTTGCAGTAGAACTGGCAGGTGCTCTGCTCCGCACAGTAGATCTTTAAAAAATATTATATTTAGTTAAGAAATAGAAACGTAAAGTTTGGCGTGTCCACCTTATAGGGTGCAAAGATGGAGGCGAAGGCTATGAAACCCTCCTGGAAGAAGGCGCATCTCAGAGGCTCATGGGTTATCACACTGTGAGCCACCATGGGATACAGCCACAGGGTCCAGAACTTGATGTTGGCTTCACAAACGGCTCGGACATTGGAGAACAGACGCGCCTGGTCTACATCGATTAGCAGTCTCTCCTCCTGCACAGCCTCCAAGCAGGCCAGGAACAACTGGAAGGCAATCTCCGGTTCACACAAGGATTAGGGGGGGTTTTGTTGGGAAACTTACATCCGTAACGGTTTGGAGGGCGTGTATGTAGTAGACTTCGGTGGTCACCAACTCCCAAATGGCCGTTTGGATCTTGATCTCACTCTCACTCATCGCCTCACTCTCCACAAAGTCGCGCCAGGACTTGTGCATGTCCTGGAGGTAGGCCAGCGAATTGACTAGATCCGGATGATCGAAGGTGAGGCCATCCGGGCGCTGGGGCACTCCGTTCTTGGCATAGCTGTTCAGTAGCTCGCACAGCTGGCTCTGTTGGGGATTCTTGATGCCGAAGATGGAGGACCATCTCTGTTTGATCTGCTTCCCGGGGGCCACGCCCGACTCACTGGTCTCCTCGGTGGAAACGGAGGGCAGCAGTCGGGGTGGCGGTTGTCGGGAGCCCTGTGGAAAATGTTTTATTTAATGGAGAGTTTTGGTAACTATTCTTTTCACTTTAATGAAAACAAAGAAAAAAATTCCGCCCTTTTGGCGTAATTTAATTAAATGTGTATTTTATTTTTCTCCCTATCCTTCTACCTTCAATGGTTTCGAGGAAAACTTACAAAGGAGGCTGCCTTCTGCAGGGGCTTGCGATTGCTGCCACGTTCCGTGATGCAAAGATGGTGTCCAGCCAGGCTCTCCACATCGGTCTGTTCATCCACTGAAACGGGTAGCAGCGAAGGTCCTGCCAAAAGGATAAAGTCAACTAACAAGCTCGAAACGAACACTCTTCGGAGGCATACCTGCATCTAAAAAACTGGGCGTGGGATTATTGTCTGTGATTGTGATCTGTGAGAAGCTAAGGTTCCGCCTACGCAGAGCGTGGCTTAGTGCGTTACTGAAAGGTTTATTCATTTTTAGAAAAATATTTAAAAAAAATCATGTCAAGGACTCACAGTAGAGTTACACCTTTGGTGGCTGGAATAAACTCCTCATCGGGATGCTGCGAGGAGTCCAAACAGAATGACACGGAGAAGAATTCGGAACTTGATACCTAAACGAGGGAATGATACCAATAATATAAGGCTCATTTCCAGGGTTGGTCCTTAAAGTTAAAGCAAAATGTAATCAGAAATCTCAAGGACCAAGCCAATGTCTTGAGAGAGAGCCTCCTCCCCGAAAATGAGCCGCAAAGAAGTCCACTGACAAAAATTACTTTCAACTGTCAAAGCAATCTCGTTGAGTAAGTGTGAAGATTGCATTTTGGGTGGTAAAGGGGGTGGGCAAGGCCGTACTCACCCAGGCCCCTTTAACCCCTTAGCCCCTCCCCTGTCCACCCACAGAAACTACTGAAATAAAAGCAAACATCAAGAAATATTTTCCGTATTTATGTTGGCGGCGGGCAACCAGCCGGAATTCTTCGCTTGGTAAGTGACAGAAACCAAAGAAAAGGAAAGTAAGTCCTTGGAAAGGACGAGGGGAAAGTAGTGGAAAGGGAAAGAGTGTGCGAGCTGGGAAAGTTCTACAAAGAGGACAACAAAACCAAAAACAAGAACAACAACGACAACTTTGCTGATTAAGGCGACAAAGGCAAATAAAGAAATTAAAAATATATCCTTTCGCCCCGCCCATATCCTGCCGCCCGCCCTTCCAACCAAAAGTCACCATCCATCTGTCGAGTGTAATTAGGAGGGCGATTCAACATCTTTTGACAGCCATTCGCGCCCCGGAAAGGATACTCGTCAGGCGCGCGACAAGATATTCTGATTGTGAAGCTTTGGCAATCCCAGGTGATTCTTCAGGTGATTCTCCTTCTCTGACTCACCTCGCTGCGTGTCAGCAGTGGCTTCTTGCGCTTCATGAACGAGGATTTCTTTTTCACCGCCGTCGCACTGGAGGATGTGGGGCAGCCGGCCGGCGAGGTCAAGCCTCCGCCACCGCTCGCTCCGGTCGTGAAGGATGCACTGGTGCTGTAGGGACTCAATGTCGAGGATGTGGCAGCCACCTCCTGGTACTGAAAGTGTTTCGAGCAGGGTATTGCATGAGTGGCTGGGGTGCTGCTGCTACTGCTGGGTGGTTGCTGTTGCTGGTTGGACAGACTTTGGTGGTGCTGGTGCAGGGATCCGGCACTGGAACTGGAGTGTCCAGCACCGAAGCAGGAGGAACTGGCCGTTTTCGTGGTATCGTCGAGCGTCGGAGACAGCGACAGCATCAGCGACGGTGTCCGCCGCACAATCTGCGGTGCCTGGGTGTATATGGTGGGTGGGTGGTGCGGCAGAGGCTGTGCCGGTGGTGGGTGTGCTGTGTGGTGAGGTGGGTGCGATGCAGCCGAGGGGGACGCAGCGACGGCCGCAGGGGATTCGGCCTTCACCGCCTGGGAGGTCTGTCGGGCAAGTGGCCCGATATATCAGCGCGATTTTCAAGAGGTCGGCAAACAAATACATAAAACCCAAAAATTTATAGTTTTGCAAAAAGGATACACAGAGAGAAAGTCATAGGAGAAACAGAAATAGATGGAGAGAAAGAAATAGAACAGAGAAGAGAAGATATTGTGAGTTTTTTGGATTCTTTAAAGATTTTCTATAATATCTTAAGCCAATGGGTAGTTATAGAAAACAAAACTAAAATAATGCTTCTAAAGATTCTAGAAAAAGTTCTACTATAACTAGATTTTAAAGACAGAAATTCTTTAAAACAAAATAATCTTTAAAACAATTAGAGATTTCTATTAAATCTCCAACTTCAGTAATTACCAACCAATGACGAAAAAGAAAAATGAAGACAAGCTTCAGGACGAATCCTGGAAAAGTCACGTTTCGCTTAAAACTGACAACAAAAGACACGGGGCGAGTTTTTCGATGAGTAACTGTTACAAATAGTTTTGTGCAAAAAATAAAAGAACAAATGGAAAAAATAGAAAGTAACTGACTGTGCGTAAATCAATGACAGCAACACACAAAGTGCTTTAGAACAGCAATAAAAAAAAATCTAAATCAAAATAGACAGAAATCAGAGACAGACAGAAACAGCAAGCAAACTAATTTGTTATCAATTTGCGAAAGGACTTCCTCTCGAGGGTCGGGAGAACCCACGAATAGCGAATCTACAGTGGCTACAGTATCAACTACACACTATACACTATACACTATGTGTGCATGCACTGAGAGAATCTATTGAGAAAATCAACCTGAATTACTTAAAAACTTGAATAGTTTTCTCGATAGGTTTCCTCAGTGCACACACACTCTCTAGGCAAGATGGATGTGCTGACTAAGTGGCCAGGCCAAGTCCTAGCCGAGGTTTACCCTCTGGACGCCCCTTAGAGTCCTTGGTCCGCCCACACTTACCACATTGGCCTGCCGGCCCAGCGATGCGGGTGCTCCGGAATTTGCGGCGCCGCCGGCTGTGGCGGTGGCGGTGGCGGAGGCTGCGGTGGTGGTGCTGGTACTGGTGGCGATTCCCGGAGGACCGTGCTGGCAGGCCACAACGCCGGAGTCGAGGCCATCCAAGTGCGTCAGGCTCTTCGATTTCAGCTGCAATGGAAATGGTAACGGAAATCTGTATGTGAGAATCGGTGGGGGAATCATTGGAGCGTGGCGCAGATATTTTATAATTAAATTTTATTCACGTTATCGATGGCTTTTCACATATTGTTTTTATTTGCAATTTTTTTATATGTTCACCCTTCCATGTTCTTTATTCAAATAAAAAATTGCAATTTAAATATAAGCGGATGAATGTTGGCCCTTTATGGTTGCAGTTGCAAGATGAATTCAAAAATATAAATGAATTTTTCAAACGAAAAGTAAAAGATTATAAAGTAAAGCTCTTTATGAATTATTTATATCCAAAATAATCCCCTACTTGAACCTCTGATTTGTTTATAAAACCCAATTTCCTTGACAATGTTGTTTATAGACTCTTGTTTTTTGGAGACATCCAGAAGACTGATTTATTATCGTATCATTAATTTCCAGCCAGTCTGAAGTGCCGCAGGCCAAGTTCCTCTTGTCTGGAAACTGAAAAAGCCTTGCTAGACGTTATCCGGTCACCCTATTGTATATATTCTGTTGTGGTGATTTTGAACATCCCAAGGAGGTCCCACACAAAGCCATCAAGTCACTGTATCCAAGGCACTGTGGAGCCACATCGAATTACTGAATATTTCGCGCTTAATGCAGAGAATAATGTTTTAAATGCTTTTGTCGGCGGGCGTTGCAAGACAATGCGATGCATTTGCCGGGAAAAAATAAATTGCTTGCAGCAGCGTGGCAGGCCGCTTGGGGGAGCTTTGGCTGCTCAAAAGGACTAGAACGAGAACGAGGACGAAGGACTAAGGCAAGGGTAAGGACGAGGGTGAGTATAGTAGTGAACCGTCAGCCAAAAGATGCATCGAGAACAAAAAGATTGCGCCTGCGGCCGAGAGCCCTAGACGTGTCCTCGAAGGTTTCCTGTCCTCGCCTAATGCACTGAGATTACATCAGTCAAGTGCCCCCCAGCTGGCCCAAAGTCAGGGTCCTCCGCCAAGGATCCTCACCCTTCTAGCACTAGCACGTCTCAATGCCTTGCTTTAAATTGCGTTTGACGGAAAAAAACCTTGTGCTTAACTTTACATTAACCACACAAAAGGATCCAAAACAGGACACACTCCCCCGATTTAAAACTAAAATATATTTAAGTATTCTTGGTTAATTACTTTGTATTTTTTTCGGGAATTAATTTCAATTGGATTGCCTAGGGCTTCGTTGGCACATCAAATGGAACTTCCTGTGTGCGGAATGCATGGAATGTTAGCTGCGAGAATTTAAGCTCCGAGACGGATGCCATTTATGCCCCCTGATGCCGCTAATCATCAGGCCATAGCCAAGGACCAAAGGACCGGGAAGAGGGCAGGGGCACAGAGGACCACCCAAAGGGCGCCCAAGGATACGCTATCCTGGTCTGGTCTTTGGCATGGTCTTTTATTTCTGCTGACGACAATATTTCACATTCTGTTTTGGCAATTTCCAGCTGGCGGCCCTCATCCTGCCGCGACTTTTCCTTGCCCTTTCACAGTGACTCTGGTTTATGTTTTTGTTTCCGGTTATATTGTGAATTGTTCGCCCACTGCGGCATGGCTGAAGGTCTCTAGTTATCCTTAAGGGTATATAGGTCCTTAAGAAAGTTTGAAAAAAAATCGAAACTAAAACAAAATAATCCGAAAAGGATTTTAGAGATACAAAGCTATCCAATGAGAGACTTTTGTATTACAACCCATATTAGAATTACAGGATAACTTCTAGTCTAATGCTTAGTTATCCTTAACTTTTTTCGGTTTGCCTGACTTGGACGCTTAGCTCCGGTTGGCATTTAGCTTCCCACACGAGAAATTTAGTTTCAGGATCTCATAAAATGAACACTTTACCATTGTAGAGTTCCAGTTGCGGAAATAATAATTCCTTTTTGTATATATATTCAGTATGAATAGTGCAATGCGGCTATAAATAATTCACTCTATTATCCTGTTACTACACATTCTACATAACGTTGCCAACGTGATTGCCTAATCATTGGATGCCAAAGTTAACACGGGCTCGGTTAAAATATATATACTGGTTGGGAAACTTTGCTGTTAACATGGTTACTTGAAGGGGTCAGTGTTTGGCAAAAGAGGACAAGGACCGAGGTCGACGAGGACACGTAACATGGAAAATCACTTTGGGTCCTTTAACTTAGACGTGGCTAACAAATGATGTTTCCGGCGACTAAGTTTACAATAATCTTAAAGATGGCTCCTGCTACTGGTTTTTGGCCAGGCTGGCATTTTTATTAGGCCAGTTATTCACTTTGCTTATTTTTCTCGTTTTGCCATAATTGTTTTCATCCTGTTTTCTATGTCCTTGAAGACGGCATGCCACTAATAGGATTAGATTTTGTTATAAACGTACCAAATTATGATTATGGCCAAGTATGTAGTAGGAGTGTGCCGAATGAATGCCATGAATGCTGTAATGGAATGACGATAATCTGAATAGAGATATTCTTTGGGAAATGAAAGCATTTTGTCGGATGGCGGCTTACAGAACATACTGTTGCCACTGTGGCAAGTTGGCGGACAAATACAAATCGCTGGTGCAATTTATTGCTTCACTGCACTTGCGTTAATGCCCCTAAGTACGGCTCGGCGACAATTGAAATGCCACTCCCCATGCCACCGCCCCCAACCAGACATTCCTGCGCCAATGCACACGCACTCGCATTAGTTTCTATGCAATCACACTGCGTATACGTAATGTGAAATATCTCCATTAGAATATTTATGAAAGTATTCCATGGCTGCGACCAGAGTCGCTTTTATTGCAATTCCATTCGACCATAAAATCTATGGGCGAACTTTATGGAATTTATGCATTCGAAAGCGAAAAATTAAAGCTCTCGATTAAGAATATTTTATTAGATAATAAACAATTAATTGGTTTGAATATTTCCCAAGGTAGGAGATGTTGAATTTTAAAGAAAATTAAATAATCAAAGGATATAAGATGCAAGATAAGAGAACTTATAAGATGAAACTTAAACTAATGCCTTAAATCAAGATTTAACTTCAAAGAAAATAAAAACCATTTATGGCCCGGTTTTAAAGCCACTTTCCAGCTGCAGGCTCATTTCCGGGCTTACGTCATACGGCCGTAGCAAATTATATATCCGTGTTTTTCGCGGGTAATTCCGTAATTTAATATCCGAACTTAAAACACAAACATGAGCACGGAGAAGCGAATCAACAGAAGGAAATAAAACAAAAATACGAGCGGACATAAGAGTGAAAATATGTTTATTCTCATTTCGCAAAGTAAACATTTGATTAGGGCCGCGCATAATTTGTTGACCATCTGCAGGACTCGGCCGACGTGGCCAAGAGGACTCCGCGCGGACTCACCTGCAGCTTGCTGTTCGGCGGCGACACCACCAGGCAGATCTTCATGGTCGCCCGCAGGAACTCCTCGCGCTTTGTACTCAGGTCAGGGGTCACAGAACCGGGTGACGTCACCGCCGCCTGCTTCAGCGGCGCCCTCTTTGGTGACGTTACGCTGGGCAGGAAGGGATTCAGGCTCCGCACTAGGCTGGCGGAGTTGAACTTGCCGCTGCTACTGCCCTCGTTGCTGCTTACTGAAGGGGGTGAGCCACTGTGGTGGCCGCTTCCGCCCTGCTGCTGTTGGTGGTGCAGCAGTCGGGTGGGTGAGTTCAGGCTGAAGAGCTTGCGGCGGTGCCTGCCCGGCGTGGAGGAGGAGCTGGACGCGGGACTGGGACTCGGTCCGGGCGGGCAGCTGGCGCCTCCCTCGCTGTGCGTCGACTCCTGCGATCCGGCGCGACTGTACGAAGGAGTGGGCAGCTGGGCGGAGCGCGAACCCGCTCCGTACTTCACCGAGGTCACATTGCCGTCTAGTTCCTCCCCCACGGCGTCGCCTCCGAGGCAGCCACCGCCCTCCACCGCCTCGTCCTCGTCGTAGGTGCTGTGGTACGTCCTGGCCGTGATCTCCGGCAGAAAGGGATTGTTCGGCGAGGTCAGAGTGTACTGGTAGTAGGTGCCCGCTCCGCTGCTGGTCTCTGCCGGCAGCATGCCCTCCGTCTCCTCGGGCGTGCTCTCCTCGGGGAATGAGCTGCCCTGGAAGTCGTGGCCCCCGCCCACTCCACTGCTGCTGGAGAGGTAGGCGCCGAGTTGCTCCCATTCTCCGGAAGAGGAGTTGTGCGAGGACACGGTGAAGCCCTCGTTGGAGTGGCCCTGACAGCTCCTGGAGCTCTCGTTGCTGCTCTTGAAGAGGAAGTTCTGGAGTCGGGTGAGCCGTATGGAGCTGCTCTCGCTGGTGAGGCTGCAGCTCCGGCTGCTGTTTGCGGGTGCGGATGTGGTGGCTGGCTGCTGATCGCTGCGGTTGCTGCTCTGGGTTTCCAGTCGCCGTCTATCTCGTTCTTGGTTTTCGTTCGACAATGATGCTGCTCCTGCGGAGCCTGCCCCTGTTCCAACACCTGTTCCTGATCCTGCACCTGCTCCAGCGCCTGCTCCTCCTCCCGATACTGTGCTCACTTCGCCACCCATGGAGGCCCAATAGAAGACACTCGTCTGGGAGCCGCTCAGCTCACCCAGCTCACAGCTGCTCTCCAAGGAAGTGCTCGAATTGGTGGTGGCGACGCTACTCAAATGCTGGTAGGCGTACTCCGGCGGTGTGCACTCGTCGGGGCTGTCCAGCAGCAGGGCGGGGTTTATGTGGCCACCGAGACCCACTCCCAAGCCCAAGCCCGGCAAGTTCAGGTGGCTGAAGGCGAAGGGCAATCGATTGTTGTTGTCGGTCTGCGGCGGGGGCGTGGCCCGGCTTTTGGCCCGCAGCTCCTCCGGCGTGGGATCCTGACGCTTGATCTCCAGGGATCGATGCTCGCCGCGTCGGAAAGATCGGCGTAGTCGCTCGGCGAACTTGGACTGCTGCTTGGGGGGCTTCTCCTTGGGCGGCTTGTCGTGCTTGCCGCCGGACGAGTCCTTGGACCGTCCCAGCAAATTGGTCCTTTCAGTCTTGTCCTCCTTGTCGAGGAGTTTCTCGTGCATATCCCCCGAATGGGCGGTGGCCCGGTCCAAGGCCGGGCGCTGTTTGGTGGCTAATGTAATCGGTGGCGCCGCAAAGCCACCACCCATTACGGCCGCCCTTCGCCGTGGTGGTTGGTGGTTCTCGTTTTCCGGATGGGTGTCCCAACGGATTATCCCTAATTTAGATGCTAGCTGGTCGCTGGTAATCGTAAGTAGTTACTCACTAAATCGTTAATTTATAAAGCGTTGATTTTCCCCAAGATACACGTTAAGATGTATGTCGTTTGTTTCGATTAACACTAAGTACGTTTAAAGCGATATTATCTAAAATTAGTTTTTCCGTTTATTGCTTATACTATGTTTTTAATGTTCGTTGGTTTGCTGAAATTAAAGGATAAATGAATCAGGATAAAGATTAACTATTGATGTTATTTTTTTTTGGAATTTTTATATCAAGGAGTGAGTGCTTCAAAGTTGAGGTCCCTTTAAGTAGCTAATCAGTTGTGTCAAGGACTACTAACTCTCTCTGTAAAAAATTTGCATGTCCTTGCTAAATGCAAATCACCACTTTCCGGGCAAATCAATTTAGGATAATCCATTCAGCCATAATATTCAAGCGTTATTGCTATTTTTCGCCCTTCGATTTGTGTATGCAAGTTTTAAAGTTTTCGGTTGTTATGGAAATTGGGGAAACGTGTTAGCATTTCAAATGAGAGAACGTCGAGGAGCTTGGCCCCGGGGCTTTGAAATTATTTCCCGGTTGAGTCCGGGCTAGGTTCTGGCGGGATGCGAGATGCGAGAGATGCCAAGCGATTGCCAATCGATTGCCAAATCCAAAAAGTTTAATCAATGTGCATATTTTGGCTGTCAACCGATTGGCAAAACTGAATTAATCAGCCAGAATCGGAAAGCAATATCTGGGCGGAGGATACAAGTCAGGACACAAGCCAGGATGTCAGGACGTCAGGATGCTGTAGTTTCATCAACGAGACCATTTAATTAGTGAGTTGGCAAGCTGAACATCTAAATCACGAATTCAGAGCAATAATATTTACTTTATTTCGTTTTTACAGATTAGACCCTATATTTTGTTTGGTTTTCCGTTTACATTTCAGGTCCTTTATTGATTCCTAATGCCTCACCGGGTCACGTCCTCGGCCTAATCGTGCATTTATATTCGCAACCTAACTTTAAGATCTCCCTTTTTTTTTGGATATACCTATTTTCTTGTTTTTCCTAGAGGTTCCTGCCCGGTAGAAGGGGTGGCCAAGAAAACTTGGCCATAAAACGGGCCAGAAAACTTTATTGTTATTAATATTATTTGCACATAAATATAACAGTAAATAAACATACAAAGTGCGTAATGTGTGGCAGGTCGAGAGTTGACAGCCAGCCTGCCACACAGCGTGCCCCTGGCTGTTGCAAATAAATCATTGCACACGCCTGGACGCCTCTCGAGCACGCAACGTGCCTCCATCCAGTCCTCAGTCCTCAATCCTAAAGCTTTTCCCAGCCAGGAGCCAGAGGATAGGACCTGTGTGCTGTTCACCAGAGCAGGGGCGTTGTTTAGGCCAAAATAATGTATAATTAAGCTGGCCCGAAACACCGAGAGTTCAGCCGGGCCTTTAATAAAGCCAACCATCTTTCATGCCACGCACACATGGACAGGGGGGCAAGGGGTGGTGCTGACAGGTCAGGGGGTGGAGTTTTTTGGATGGGTGGTGTATATGGGTCACCCCTTTTGGAAAGCTGGCATCTAACAAGTTATTTTCAATTAAGTGTTCTTAACACGTTGCCTAATCGACAGACATGCTCCCCCGGGTCCTGGCTTGCTCCTGCTCCTGCCGGCTTGCTCCTAATCACATTATTGCAAAGCCAAAGGATACCCACATCCTCACACTAAAGGTCGAGCAAAAACAGTGACATGATGTGATTTCATCTTGTTTTGGCCAGAATTTGCACTGGGAATTTTTCCTTCCTCTCCAGGGGTTTCAAGCTTAAACTTTTTCTACAAAAAAAACGTAGCACTGGCACTATCCTGGCTTTTGGAAATAAAGCATACCGACTGTATTCTCGTCCCTGCATAATTGCTGTCTATTGCTAAACCAATTTAAACATGCCGTGCCACAGGACTCGGTGTGGCACGAGCTCCCAAATTCGTTTTATCACGGCATGGCGGAATCGCAGAACGTTTAAAGATAACGAACATGTTTTTTCGCCTCACTCCAGCCTCACTCCACCTCTTAAATGAAATTAAATGTGTGTCTTGCGATAAAATTTTATATTCAAAGCCTCGCGGCACGGGGTTTTGGCGAAGGGGGTGACCCCAATGAGGCAGCGAGTTCAAGGCGCTTTTCAATTCCGCCGACACCACCGCCACGACAAGAACAACTAGCCGCCGTCATTTCCGCTGCCTGTCAGAGCAGCAACAATTTAATTTTTATTGTTATGATGTCATCAGCATAAGAACCCGCAGCCCATGCCATTTCCAGGCGCCCCCCCTGATTCCACAACCCAGTGGGGCAGCCCTATCCTGGGACCTTTTTGCGATATCGAAAGCCTCGCTGACGCACTCGGAAGACGTGAATCACATACAAATTGCCGGTGCCGATGCCGTAGCCTCAAAGTGGCAGAAAGTCTTACTAAAATAGGCACTACTATGTCCCCACCCGGCGGCCCGGAGGCGTCCATGAGCGATTTATGCCGCGGCAGGATTTACTCGGCACGCTGACCAGCCGATAAGTTGATTTTCGCTACAGTAAAGGCTCCCTCTATTCTAAGCTCTCAAGGACTCTTGCCCTAGGAAACCAAGGTTATATTTTAAGACACACCACTGTATATAGACACTCGTCAGAATCTTATAGGTTGAGTTAGAAATATGCCCCCCGGCGTGGCCCAGGCTCGTGAACATTATTACGATGCCAGGCCAGCTTTTATGTGGCTGTGGTAATGTAACATTTTGCTGAGCAATCAAAAGGCGCACCAAAGTTTCCAAGTTCGAGGGGTGGTAGGTATGTAGCCGGAGCTGGAGAACCGCATCCACCTGGCCAACTTGCAGCGGGCGTTTGATCGATAAACCAGGCCAAAAGCCAGCCAAGTCGAGGCCTTTCTCTCGCCAATTGTGGCAGGCAACCAACCAACCAACCGTCCCGTGTCAGTGGCAAAGTTTAATCTTTGAAGCCGGCGACACATCGGGGGCCCCTAAATTGATTTTTAAAGTTATCAGAGTGAACCGTATAGCCTGCGATAGGTCTGTGATTTATGCAAAGAGGTGGCTGCTAACTTTTGCTGCTAACCGGCGGGGGCTGTCGATTCTTTACCAATCGGGTCAAAGTGCAGAGTGCAAACACAAACTGACAACTGGTCCCAAAAGAAAACAAAACAATGCCCATCCATCATGTTGCTATCAGGGGGGTTTAAGGTTTTCTATCAAAACACTAAAAACAAAGAACCAAAACTCATTGAAAAAAATCATTATAAAAATTATTCAAAATGTATTGGAAAGGGGCAGTATCCTGTAGGACATTTTCTGATTATTGTTTCTTTAAAGGACTATTTGATTTTTTTCTTTGTGCACCCACTCCTTGATGATTGCCACCTGAACTTACTCACCTGGGTTGGTTCATTAATGGGACCTCTTCAATTCTGATTCTGATTCCGATTCCGATTTTTGTTTCTTCTTTTTTCGAGTCCTTTTCCTTTTGTTGAGTCGTTGTTGTTTCTGTTGTTGTTGCTGCTGCTGCTTCTGCCTCCTGCCGCACATTTATTTTTGCAATTTGTTTGCCTCCCACTGGGTTGGTTTTGTTTGTTTGTTTGTTTGTTACTTTGTTGGCTTTGTTTGTTTTGCTCTCACACGCGCGCCAACCCACTAAACACCCGCACTCTTACATCTAAACACTCGCGTTAAGTACTTGGGCACAGTACCTGTACTTTAATCTATATCTGTAACTGCACAAATACCCGTATATGTATCTGTAGCTGTAAGTGAGATGAGTCCTGGCAGCAGGATGAAAGCTACGTAAATGAGTTTATTGCCGGCAATAAGCAAAGTTAATGCGCCTGCACGAGAGGCATCGATGCAATATATCATCTGGATTCGAGTCGTTACCTTGAAAGAGACAGAACACAGGTGAGGGGAGGTTAGTGAAAAGTCAGATATATACACATATCTATATATAACCAAAAATTCTTTGACTTCATTTGGGAAAGTGCCTTAAATCGAGAACCTTATATCTTATTTTATAGGAAATTGTTTGTACAATAGTCGCTGAAAAGTTTATCTCACGCTTGTATCAAGCCCAGTATCGTGTTCTTCCGAGTACACTAAAGTCAACAAGAGTTGGCACGAAGACCCAGAGACCCGGAGACCCACAGCTGGAGAAGCCACAACACAATTACGGGCTACTTGGCTGGCGTGCGGCCCGTAGTCAGATTACTCATTGCACGTGGAAGGTACGAGTAGCAACAGCCATTCAAGACAGCTGACGTTCTTTCTACGGAGGGGTTCTGGTAGAAGAAGGATAATAAACTTTTAAATTTCTCAACCAACTGGCACAGAAAAAAAAGGAGAATAATTTAATGAAGTAAACAGAAGAATTGGTTTATAAGAAAGTCTATAGAATTCTAGACAATACAAGTTTAAAAGCCTATACATAACTCCATTAAATTATTCAGCTCCTAAAGGATGTTTCAACATCTTTCTGTTTGTTCAAGTCAAGGTGTTAATTATGTTGATTAAGTTTTAATCATCCACAAGCTTCAAGCTCTCATTTGCATTCATAAATTGCTTAAGACCTATAAATAATAGCAACAAGAAAGGCGTTGAGCTATAGTGTGTAATAATGGAATAAACAAATCTCAGTGCTCTCATCAAGCAAACCCATTTCCATATAATCCCCATGTGGCTGGGGGACCCACCCACAGAACGCCCCTGAAATGTTATGCAAAAAACAAAAATTCAATTTCAATTCAATTAATCACGCTTGATTACCACCAATAATGGCCAACAGCATCAGCCAGAACACCAAGGCAGTAGACAGCAGACAGCCATCTGGTTGGCAGGACTCTGACAGAAGTGACTAGAGAGCCACTAGTCGACTAGCCCGATTCCCCAGTGCAATCCACCCTCTGGCTTTTGTCCTTGGCTTGCAACTGCTTCCCAAGCCGTTTTTTGTTTACCACTTTGCACATTCTGCTGTCAAATTTGTTGATTTATAGTTCCCGATGTGGCCTGAACAATGGCTCTATAGCGGGGGCGGTCTGTCTGATGACAGAAGGGCGCCAAGCCAAAAAAAAAAAGAAAGTTTGTAAATACGCTAGAAATGCCAAGACCTTAAGGATACCTGACAGTCTCTGCAGCAGATTATGTCTTTGATTTTCAGCTACAAATAATAATAAAGTTTATCTTATATTGATATGTTATATCACTCTGACAAATCTTTCCTTTTAATCCCTCAAGACAGACCAATACTTTGGCAACAAACAACAATCAAACTTGTTAAGTTTCTCAAAGTTTAAGCCAGAAACCAAACTGTAGCCAACAATATACCCTTATAGCTGAAGAGTACCTCGTATAGAAAAATGTGGGGGAAAAACAGCAAACCTCGAAAGCAAAAACCCAGAACTAGGACCAGGCCCTGCGATAAAACCGAAAAAACTAAAAAGAACACAGAGGGAAAAAGTCGGCCAACAATTTCAATGACAATGCGGCAGTTTGTTTTCCACTTGGCTTTTGTTGTGGTGCAGTTTCGATTTTTTTTTTTGTTTTTTGGGGAGGAGGCCCAGAACTAGGCTCGTCAAGTGGCGAATGGTTTTTGGCAGAATGCGATTAGGCTCTACCTGGGATAGTTTCCCCGCCCAGCTGCCCGGTTGCCCGTCCGTCCATGTGAGGTCCTGTCGATAAATCCAGTCGAGTGCACAGCGTCGTCGGAAGTGTGCGAGTCTGCCCGCAGAGCAAAGATTGAATATATACCCGCCAGCCATCTAGCCATCCAGCCAGCATACAAATCCATCCGTCCGTGTGTCCGAGTGAATGGCAGGGGCTCAGGACCTGTCCCAGCACTCATACCCGTACCGGAGATTCATCCGCAGACGACCGCAAACAAACGCCGCTCATTTGCAGGCAGCTCGCATTCGCATTCGCATTGGCTTCTGGCTCCTCTGGTCCGGGTTCGAGGTTCGAGTCCTGGCCCGGGTCCTGGTCTGGGTCTGGGTCTGATGTCAGGGCCGGAATCCGATGTGCAGATGTGTTTGATGAGGCCGGAGATAATCGTTTGGCAATTGAATGAGTTCCCCATGTCGGAAATTGGGGGGCGGAGAGTATGGATTTTTGCCAAAGTTCTGCACTATGACCACCCAATTTTTTTTTAAATTTAAAAGTTTGGAATTTAAAGGATGTTTCTTTTTGATTTAAGAACAATTTTTTTAATGGCAGGTGCTATTTATAGTTCTACGAATTGTTTGGCGTGCTCCTTGAGAAAGAGACAATATGGACATGCGAGAGAAAATATGGTTCCCAGCGAAGGCTATATCTACCCAAAAGACAGCCCATTCTTTAGCAGAAGAATACCTGAAAGGAATGGTGGATAGGTTCTCCACAAAACTACATCCAAATCCAGCAACAAAATATTTTGTGGAATTTTTATTAAATTTTCCAGAAGATCCTCTTTAAAAACTACGAAGAACGCATGCCCGAGACAATATGGCTTACATTAAAGGTTATATCTCAACCAATAATCATTTAATTCTAAAGCGGAATACCGAAAAAAAGGTTCTAGGAATAGATTCTCCATTAGTATACATCAAAATCTAGGCTCAAGGATCACGGAATCTAGGATCTGATTTTGATCTCATAATCTTCCTAAACTTGTACCAAATGCATGGAAAGGACAGGCTTATCATTTTAATTCCTATCTAACTACACATTGTAGAGTGTATTTTAATTCATTGGCTTTAAAGTAGTAAAACAAAGCCCTAACCACTACAAACATGTAACTTTTAATGTTTTCATAAACTTTTACAAATGGGAACATCGGCTCTAATAAAGTCAAAGTTTTATTCATGGCCATACTTGACTTTTGCAATTTAGATTTGATTTAAAGGGTGGGGATACCCCTCCCCAAACTCCCAAAACTCCCACACTTCCGGCATAATTCTGCCACAAACGGGGCCACTAAAAATTTCCAAATTGGCCAAATGAATGGACCTACTTTCGAGTGGCTTTAACCCCAATGCAGTGGCCATTATTAAAAGTAAGCGAGCCACACGCCGGCGATCGTTGACCACCCCGGTCTGGCCTGGCCTGTTCTGGTCTGGTATTGGGTAGGGTCCGGGCCCGTCCATAAATAACGGCAAAACAGTCAGATAAATTCGCAGGAGCTATAAACAAGCTACTCCAGTGGCGGGCCGCCACCTCCCGCACTCCTCCAGCGAAATCGATTTAAATGCTTCGTTTGCGTGTTTTGTGTCCTGGGCTCTGCTGCTCTGAGCTGCTTGCCGGTGTTACCTTGAAGTCTTTATGTAACTTCTATAACAGTCCGGTGGTCCTCCCAGGTCCTGTAGTCCGTTCCCGTGCATTGTGTCCTGGTTATAGCCGCTGCCGATGCCGCCACAAAGCAAATTTCCATGCTAAATAGCCCGACACGTGGCATCTGCCGTTCTCGACCGCGTGCACCATTTTGATTGGCGTTTGATAAGAAGCAAGGACTCCAGGGGAAGCCAAAGACCCAGGCCAGGCCAGACCATGCCAGGCCAGGAACCGGGGGAGCTGGACACCGGAGCGGAACGGAACGGAGGCGCCAGATAAGGGCCAACCACCACCAGCACGGCTGTAAGGCTATAAGGATACAAGGATACACTTTCCGTGTGCGCTGCATTGCTTTTCGAACAAACAGATTTTACGGCCACTAAAGTCGAGGGAAAGCGGCACGCAAGGATAATTAGGGACTTTGATGGGCAAGAAATTTTTGATTTCAACTTTAAAGGCTTAACATTGTATAACTTGGGTATTTGGAACTCTTTGTATTCTTTTTTTTTTTGATACAAAAAGAGCTTATTGCATTTGCGTGACAGAAACGGAAACTATTAGCAGTTTCCCTCGTCCCTTCTCTGGGGAGTTAGTTAAGCTCTTGAAAGATTTTCGCACAAACGTGCGAAACATGAACCAATTTCTGAACCAATTGCCAACCAACTGTTATGGCAAACAGGAACGTGGCTTAAACACTTGCATATAAAAAGCAATTGTTAACAAAAGTATAAGGGTTCTATAGTTTAAAAGCTTAATAATACTATAAAGTGTACAACAGACACCTGGCAGACTCCTAATACCTTTACATTAAATGGTTAATACTAGCCCTAGTTCCAAGACCTTTGAAAACTATTATTTTGACCACATCTGTATGGCTTATTTGAACCCATGTGGGCTTTATGCCAATCTAAAAGTTCATTGCATATTCACATACACGATCGTATGTATATATCTTTGCGTTCTTGGCTGCCCTGCGGGAGTATAGTTGCAGTTGTTTGCCTAATAAATTGTTGCAAAAGCAAATCAACACAAATTTTCGAAGGATACGTGTACGGACTTTGTTGCTAGCCGTTACTGAGCTGATGTCTGGCTGATGCCCACCTCCCACCCATGTCACTGTTGCTACATGCTACATGCAACATGCCAAGCCACTCCCATCA